CCAATGTTGAGTTTCTCTCATACGAATTAGACTTCGGGGTATCCTGTAAACACTAAAACTCACACATAAAAGTTGATTTGCGGATAACGATATATATTAAGCAAAATCAGAATGTAAAGAAGATAAATAGATAATCGATCAGGTAGGCTCAGATTCACAGCCACTCCCTTCTCCACCCTAAGTCGTCCAATGTTTCCGACTTCACACAGGATTGATTGTTGGTACGCAAAGTCGATCGTCCGTCGAGATAGAACGCTACACAGGGAAAACCAGAAAAAGGGATTGTGGCAAGAACCCACGAACAGTATCATCAAAATACCCAATCACAAGTTTCTCTTTATTTTCACACCCCCGTAACACACCGAGCAACCCTATATTTATAGGTGTGAAGATATCGGATAAACTGCTCCAATCTAGGGGAAGCCAAACTTACTGATGCAGAGGCGACGAGGTAGGAACAACCAAGTTTGAATTTAGGCCAAAGAAGAGAAGAAATCACCCGTCGACTTCGGAACCGATTGAGAGAAAAGTGGGGAGAAATAGGTTTGAATGATTTGGGTTAGATTTATTTAGTAAATCTGATTTTATCAGTTAGATTGGAAACGGGTAGGGTTTGGGTCGGTTCGGGTCAGATGGGTAGGGCAGAAAACATACCAACAAACTTTTTTTTTTTAATCTCGTAATTGAACTATTTTAACATTTTAGTCTCTTAATTGAAGGTTGTTTGAAAATAGTCCCGTAAATGAAAAAAATTTGCATATTTAGTCCACAGGCGCCGAAGATGTTTGTTTGGCATGCTGAAAGACATATGTCCGTAAGTTAGCGTCATTTGGTAGACACGTGGATCATGTTTATTCTTTATTTTATTATTTTTAAAATTTACTTTTATTGTTTTAATTATTTTTATTTAAAATTTTATTTTATTTTTTATTCATTTATATTTTAATTTATTTTTTTTTATTTTTTAAAATTTTAGTTTATTTATTTTAATAACAACAATCAATCGATGTTGCTGCTTCAACAACTCAAACTCCAATCCAACCATTCTTTCTCCATTAACCCCCTCTTCAAGAAAAAGAGTTTGTTTCTTTTGCTTCCAAACCTAGGTGATTACTATTTGTACTCTGTATTTTTTGAAAAAAAAAATACACTTGTTATTTTCACAAAACATCTCATCATACGCTATTTTAATATCAAACTTAAACCAAAATTTTCTCAAATCCATAAAAAGAAAAGAAGACTCTTTTTTTTTTTGATAACGTGGGAACTTGCAACCGCTCATCGTCGAGTACGCTATGGATAAACCTTTGGCCGAACTTAAAATCCTGCAAACTATGTCTGACAAGGCAAGTTACACTAGACGAATCATGTGTGGCAGATAGATCTGGAGGTCATCAGGGGTTTGAACCCATGACTTCTCAGTCACAAATTCATCCCACATTACCAGACCATCCCTTACGAGATAGAGCTATCTTTTGATTTTTGTTGCGTGGAAACATGAATAAGAGATATCACCTAATGAGTAACGTGTGTTGTATTGATTTAAATAGTGTATATTTTTTAATAATTGTACCTCAAAATTTTCTTTTTTATTTTTGGATAATATATTTTGGAATTAACTTTTATTTCTTTACTTTTTATTATTTTTGTATTATAAAAAAATTTATTCTCGATAAAACAGTATTCATATTTATATACTTTTAATTCCTAATTTAATTTTAAAATTATATTATATTAATATAAATATATAAATAAAACATAAATATATATATTTTTTCATGGTTATTGTATGGAAAAATGGAGGACCTTATTTGGCCAAAATCAACAATTGTATACGAACTATGAAAATGATCTATTTGTACCAGTAACAAATATAAATAAAAAATTTAGACAAACTAAAGCAACATCCTCACCCGCGAGTAAAATTGTCACTTTTATGTAACTACTTGTACCTAGGGGTGGGCAAAATATCCGAACCGAACCATCGAACCGAACCGAATCAAACCGAATTTTCGGTTAACCGAGCAAATTCGGTTCGAATATAAATACTGCATATTTGGTATTTGTTCAGTTCAGTTCGATTTCGGTTTCTAACCTTTTTTCGGTTCGGTAATAATTTTATAATAAATTAATTATGTTATATTATATATTTATAATTTATTTATATAATTATCATTAATAATATACATTACCGCCAGTCCCCCAATGCAGACCCGGTTCAAACTCATTGCAAACCGCCAAATCCCATCTCCCAAATCTCAAACGCGATTTCACAACCCTAATTTCTTCATCTGCCTCCAGGACGTCGGCGGTACTTCACTAGTTCACTCTCTTGCGATTTTTCAGCCAATCAGTGGCGGCTTCATTTTGTTTCTGCGATTTTTCATTCCATCTCTCAGTACGGCTTCACCCCCTCTTCTGCAGTTTGTGTACAACTATCCAGACAATCGTTTTCAACTCTTCGTGCACAATACAACTGCAAAATCTTTCAGGTAACAACTACAAATAGTCGATTCAAAATTATAAAATCTTTTCCATTTTATTTTTTTCCATTTTATTTACATTGTGCAGAGATTTTTATTGTTTTTTAGTGCAATAACCGTTTTTTTTGTTCAATTTTTTTTTTCAAACTCAAGCACCTGATAATTGTCCTGCTCCTAAGGTACCTAAATCTCGATCTGTTGCTTGGGATAATTTTAAAAAGACTGGATCTGGAGATAAGGCAAAAGGCAATCATTGTTCTACATTGATTACGTGCAAATCTAAGTTAGGCACAAGTACTAGTGCTATGTTGAATCATTTGAAAAGGTGTAAGGCAATTCTGAATGAGGTTGAGGATGATGGGCATATGGGTAAAATATTGAAACAAACAACAATGCATTATCAACCGAAAAAAGAGAATGAATGTGTTGATGTTAATTCTTTTTTGTCATTTGATCAACAACAATGTCGTAAAGCTCTTGCTAAATAGATTATTGTTGATGAGATGTCATTTAGAACTGTAGAATCAAAAAGATTTCATGATTGCATGAGTGTCATTCAATCTCGATTAGGAATTCTATCCCAAAGAACACTTGTTAGAGATTGCATTAAGATTTCTGAATATGAGAAGTCAAAGTTGGAGACCTTTATCAAGAATTACAATGGTAGTGTTTGTCTGACCACAGATATTTGGACATCTTGCCAAAATTTGAGTTATATGTCATTAACTGCCCATTTTATTGATGATGATTAGAATTTGCACAAAAAAATTTAAACTTCTCACCAATTCTTGGTCATTCGGGTTATGCGATTGGAAACAAAGTTGAGGATTGTTTGGTGGCTTGGAAAATTTAAAATGTTTTTACTATAACGGTTGACAATGCGAGCGCAAATGATGTTGGATTAAGATATCTAAAAGATAGGTTGAAGAAATGGATAAGGGTGAATTTGGATGGAAAGTTTTACATATGAGATGTGGTGCACATATTCTGAATCTTATTGTTAAGAATGGATTGAATGAAATAAAGGGTTCAATTGAGCTAATCCGGTCTGCTATTCTTTATGTGAGATCTTCTTCAAATCGTACACAAGCATTAAAAAAATTGATGGAAAAACAAAGATTGAATGCGAATGCTATTGCTTCATTGGATGTTGATACAAGATGGAATTCAACATATAAAATGTTGGATTCCGCCTTAAGAGTGAAAGATGCGTTTGATTTGTTGGAATGCGAAGATGACAAATATAAGGATGAGTTGAAAAAGAACGACAAAGTGCCACATACAAAGGATGATTGGTCTCATGCGTGTGGATTTCTACCATTTTTGAAATGTTTTCATGATACAGCTGTTAGAATTTCTGGCTCTAAGTATGCAACTGGGAATTTATATATGAAAGAAATTTTTCGTGTTGCATATAATATTCAATCAATGGTGGAAAATATGGATTCATTAGTTAGATCAATGGTTTCCAAGATATCTGGAAAGTTTTTTAAATATTGGGGAGATTGGAAAAATGTTAATCCAATGATTTATCTTGCAACTATTCTTGATCCGCGCCATAAAATGCGTTAGGTGAATTTTATGATAAATTGCGTGAATGTAGAGAGTGAAACAAAAGAATTGCTTCAGTCAATTCAGGATGTTTTTAGAATGATGTTTGATGAATATAATTCCACTTCAATATCTAACATTAAAGTGGAACCTTCTAGCATGGTCTGCTGCAGTGTTACACCAATTTTTTTCCCAAATTGATGACTTTGAGAAAAGATTGCAAAAAGAGTTGGAGGAATTTGAAGCAATTGAAGTGCATGGTGTGTTGAAATCTGAGTTCGATAAATACTTGGATGACGAATGTGAAAAGATCACCCAATCGAAGTTTGATATCTTGGATTGGTGGAAAACAACGGGGTCAAAATATCCGACCCTTTCTCGTATGGCAAGAGATGTATTGGCCATTTCAGTATCTACGGTTGCTTCAGAGTCGACTTTCAACACAGGAGGTCGTATTATTGATATTTTCGGAGTTCTCTTACCCCAAAGTTGGTTGAAACACTCATATGTACACAATATTGGATTCAAAGAGGTAATCCAAAAATTGTGGATGAAAATGAGCGTGAAGATTTTGAAAAACTCGAAGCAGGTATTTTATATGTTTTTGATTGTTTGTTAGTATTTTTTTAGTTTACAGCATGGGAATGACATATTCTGGATTTAGATGAATAACATAAGATAAACTTTCTTTGCAGCACAGTAAATTTATGAGTGTTTCAATTCTAAAAGTAGATTTATTTGTCAATATTTGTTTGAATTCGATTCAATTCAGATATTTGCAAATAGTACAAATATTTTCGGTTAACTAAAAATTCGGTTAACTGAAAATTTCAGTTAGCTTTTGGTTCGCGATTTCGAATATTTGTTTGGTTCGATTTGAATATCAAATAACTGCATATTTGCAAATATCCGAACCGTGCCCACCCCTACCTGTACCACTAATCATATATATATATGTATTAGATATATATTGTATCCACAAAATGTTTAATTATAGTGAGTAGAACATAATAGATTTTCATTTCGAAAGATAAAAGGGAATGAGATCAAAGCACAAACAAACGATAGTTATATTTGGATACCACAGTTAGTTATATTTGTTGGTTTCTTGAGCAACAACCAACCATTCAAATATTATATCATTTTTTCGATGATCGGAAACCTCCGAATCCCATCATAGCAGCCACTTCAGGGTCTACTGCCAGCTCCTCCTCCTCCTCTTCGGCCGCCTTCTCCTTCTGAGGAACAACTTATTGCAAATCATGATAGGGTTGGTTTATATAAGCAATAATTGAAAATCAATACATAGGACCTGTAGTAACCTTTTTCTCTTTCTTTTTCTCTCGACGTAGGCGTTTTCTTTCCTCCTCTTCTTGTTGTTGTTTCAGGATCCGTTCATCAAAATCTATACTAAACATGTTTAGAGATGTGTCCCTCCAAAACATTTACAAAAGGCAAGACATCAAATGCAAAAATAAATTACATGAATATGGAGAAACAGTGCAACGCTATTCTTGCATTAAACCATTGTGGTATGTATTTACTCTTGTCCAAGGGACAATAGCAACTCCTTAATTCACATAATCATAATAGTTTAATAGTGCGGCATAGTTCAAGTTCAGAGATTGAGCAGTGTATTCTGTGCATATTAAATGGAGAAGTTCTGCCTTCTCCAGGCCAAAAACAATGAAAGGGAAAATCAAGCTGGTACAAAGACAATGAATCTTGCAAAGCCAGAAAAGAAAATATAAGGTAACATAATAATTATGATTCATTCTAAGACTCACCTTGCTCAGTAAAGTCTCCCGTATCTTTCCGCTTCTTGAGGACTTCAAACCGCTTTTGGACCTGCACATCAAGCATTTAAATAAAAATTATTATGGGAAAATAGCTACTCCTTTGAAAGGGTAGACGACACTTCAGGAAGCCATCTGGAAGTGCAATGTGAAAACTATAGGCCGTCCGTTTACAATTGATAATGTGTGCAGAAAATGCCTTGAGCTGAGATGAGCTCAAAGATGAGATTGATGTTATTTTAAAGGAAAATTGCAGAATATATATGCACCAGTGCTTGTATGGATGGTAGGCGTAATTTCGAACGATAACATGGAAACTTCTGAGGAACGAGGTTAGTTACACCTCGTTATTGGTTAACAAAATTTCAACCTAAATGGGCAATCCACAAAAGTTGTTATCCTTTCTTCTCCTCTCATTATTATGTGTTCTATTAACTGTCTCACTATGAAAAACACTTCACTTGCACAGAAGTGTTAGCACAGTTACTTGTTAGACATATTTTATGATTTTGCCAACTACAAATTGGAAACTGAAAAAGTTCAGTATATACTCATTTTGCTTTGCTGACAACATGGCAGTTAAATGATATGTAGTTAACCAATCAACAACAAGACTATCATAAGTCATAGCAGTATACCTGCTCCAATGTTGCCCTTTCAACCCGCATAGACATACCCAAAGCTCTTTGATCTGAACAAATGAAAACAAGACACCCATGATTTCTCGACATTGAGAAGATAAAGTACCACCCCCACCACCACAAAAATAAATAAATAAATAAAAGTTAATGTTCTTGAACAGATACATACGTTTCTTCCCATTTATATGATCCAAGTAATTAGCAGAATCCTTAACTACACATTCACAGACTGAACAGAAATATCCTGCCTGCAGCAAAAAGATATGCAAGAATATTTGTAAATGAACAAAAATAGATGGTTTCACTCAGCAAAATGATTGTGTATTTTAAATAAATTTGGTAAAGAAACTTAGGGGCGCTGTAAATTCAACACTTTGTTATAAGCTGGTTTTGTTGGATATTGACTACATAATTAGAAGATTACAATTCCAATAACTATGTTATCTCCATAAGTCAAAATTTCAAACCAAGATTGCGCAATGATTACATTATATGAATATAAGCATCATATCTGTATTGCTTGCGGAAAGTTAATAAGATGTTGCATGCAGTAATGGAAGACCCAAAACAAAATCATAATTCGTTTAAGTTTTAGTTTACAGAAATGGATTCTATGACAAGCAAACAAACAAATACATACTTCAGAAAACTCAAATATATATAATTAATGGTTTGATGTTTTGTAAGCTTTCTTCCTCGTTCTTATCATATGTTAAAATGATTATATTATATTGGTAGAAGTCAATTCTCCCTTTATGTATTAATATTTTGAGAGGAATTAAGGCATGTGTTAACAAATGTTGCAGCAGCAACTCCCAAATATTAAACAAACATCTAAAGCACGCCAGAAGGACGTTACACAGCCATGAAAGCTCAACATTTTACTTTGTATCTAGCAGCATGCCTTATCCAGGCTTAGTTGTGACACAAACACAAACGCCATACTCCACTTCAATATGATTCTTACCTAACACAATCAATTTGCACTTATTGTCAAAATTAAGAGGGAAACTGACAATAGTCATGATACTACTTTTCAATTCGAACACACCAGCCTTTACAATGGACAACGGTTAGAGATAACAACATAAACGACAAAAAGAAGACATTGAATGATTTGGGTAGCAAATACCTGTTGACTAAGAGGCGCAATGGGTGTCACAACCTACAATAGAAATAGATATGCATTTAAAATAAGTATTCTACATATGAGCTTGTCAAAAGATGAAACAACATATTAAAAGAAAAAACTGCATGAGTAAAAACATCAATACGGGCAAAATGTAACAGCTACCTTTTAAGCTCAAATAATATTATACTTGCTACCCGTGGCTACAACTAAAACATGCATTACAATTTACAAAAATAAAGTATTAGTAAAAAAAACACACACACACACGCACAAACAAACACGAAAAATAGCCATGCAAATGAACCAACATAAAATGTGAACTCAGCACCAAATACTATCTTTTCATGCTGACAACTTGCAGACATTACCTATAGTATCACTTCAATCATCATTGCCGTGTGTCATATGCAGAACCAAATGCAAAATATGGAAACTAGTAATCATGTTCACTATAACCTTGCAATAATCACCCCCACTAACTTCATCCATCTATGATCCTTGCTGATGAAATCAGAGTATGGCTTCACTAAAGTCAGAGCACATATCAATCAAGTTAACTTAGAAAGTTAAGAATCAATTTCATCGGCAATACAGTGAAAGAAGATTAAATGATAAGTCATTCTGACATCGGAACACCCTTATGTAATCAAACCTGGAAACTGCAAACATGCCAAACAGTAACACAAACACTAACCTGAGTCTTTCCCAGGCGTGATTCAAGGTCCACTTCATAGTCCCTGTGCTTCAACGGTTTCCTTTGCACCGGTGGACCTTTTGCTGCAGTGCAGAACAATCCCATTTCACATATTAAGACCCCCAAAAAATACATTTTTATCATTTACACAACAGGCACTAGCGCAATCTTATCTGCCAACCACTCTAAACTACGCATGCATATGAAAATAATAAAATAAAATACACGTCCATACGAATATTAAACAGCACTTACATTTTGATTTTGTCCGACCCTCCGCCTCCTGCAAGATTAAAACAAAATTAGAGCAACATACTTTCCTACAAGAACCAAAAAAAAAAACGCCAAAATAATGCAGAAAAACTCATATTAATGCAACGCCCATTGTCATACCTTTTCTTCGCGCTCGCGTGCGCGTTGCAAATATTCCTCTCGATCAAATTTTTTCCGGAAAGTGTTATCAACTCCAGCGGCCTTTACATCAAACCCCAGAAAAAAAAAAAAAAAAAAAAAAAGTCATACCATGGAGCTCGTAAAACAAAAATTAACATGCGCGCTAGTTCGTGCTTACGGCATTGCCGGGTTGAGCCATTGAGGAGGACACTCTTGGATTGTATCCCTGCCGAATATCCGGTGATTAGCTAGAAATTATTCTATAGAACCAGCAAAACACTCAAATTCACCGAAAAAAAAATAGCGGATGGATATATGTAAAGAGAGAATTGAGGGAAAATCGAGTACAATTAAAAAAACCCTAGGTCTTCAATGGGATTCAAAAAGCTCAGGATATAGTATAAACGAGTCTAGAGTGCCGAGACGGTTTCGAACAGCTGTTAAACCGGAACAAAATCGAGCTTTTAGTGGTTCGGTTTTTGTTCCAGTTTTATTAAACCGCTCGAACCGGCTGGTCATATATGTGTATATATTCTCTGTCACATTAGATTTGTTTTCTTCGTTACTAAATCAAAATATATTTAACAAACGTAAGGAATTGTCGAGGGTTCAAACGACCCGATGCCTGGAGTAATTAATTGGTGGCTCACGTAATTTTGGAGTTTTATTTTATTTTTTAAATAATAATTTTGAATAATTAATTAAAGTTGATTAGAATAACATATAACCTAACATAATTTAGATTTATTGAGATAATAAATAACAAAAATATGGATGTTTTGTACATCTATATATATACTTACTCTTAATTTTATAAATTTTTTAATTTTTAAAATTTTAATTTTATTTAAAAATCGTATTTTGTATTTATATTAATATATTTTTTTTGATTATTTAATACAGAAAAACATTAATGTTTTGTTAATTGTTTGATAAAGCTGAAATTTTTAAGTGAGTGTTCATGATTCATTGCTTTTTCAATCCAACGATAAGATTGCAGTTTGATCAAAATTTTACATAATGTGACATGTTTTTTTTATTTGTAATCTTGATCTTAATTTTTTTAAAATTTTTTATTTTCGTCGATTGATACAGTGGTGATTGGGCATGTTTCCACGCATTATTAAAAGGACTTTCATATACAGTTTGATCATAATAGATTTTCTTCTTTGATATTGTTGACTTGTGATTTTTATTTTATTTCAAAAGGTTTTCCATGTTAAAATTTTTTCGTGTTTTTATATTTTGTTTGCAATATAAGTCATTATTAGTCCTCGTTTCTTTTTAATAGGATTGTGAAACTCTTATAATAATTCTTTTTTGTTTAATTCTAAAAATTTTAAATTTGATTATGCATAAATTAACTATCGTATTATATTGAATTTATTATTCTTATTGTTATATGTTCTTTTTAGTTTATACTAATCTATTATAATATTCATACCGTAATTCAGAAAAATATAAGAAAAAAAATCGTTGTTTGAATATTTGCGGAAAATAAAAATTATATTTTAACCTAAAAAGAGAGTGCATATATATAGACATATATATGTGAGCCCCAAATAACAATATATGAAAATATGCTAACACCCCCCCCCCCCCTTAAACTCAAGGTGGTAAAGTAGAAATTAACTTGAGTTTGCTCAACAATTGGGAGAACCGGCCTAGGAAGAGAGACTTTGTGAAGATATCCACAGTTTGATCTCCGGAAGAGACAGAAGATAGATGAACAGCGCCTGCACAAATACGCTGACGAACAAAGTGACAATCAATCTCAATATGCTTGGTGCGCTCGTGAAAGACATCACTATGGGAGATCTGAATTGCGCTCGTGCTATCACAATGGAGGGAAGTGGAAGGAAGTTGAGGAACCCCGAGATCAGAAAGAAGCCGACAAAGACAAAGGAGCTCTAAAGTCGAATCCGTATGAGCACGATACTCAGACTCTGCACTGGAGTGAGAAACGAGAGTTTGTTTCTTGTTGCGCCAAGAAACAAGGGAACTCCTAAGGAAAAAACAATAACCTGTGATAAAGCGACTATCAGTCGGATTACCTGTCCAATCAGCATCAGAGAAACCTGCAAGAACCAATGGAGAGTCGGCAGAAAAATAAAGACCGTGTAGAAGTATTCCCTTGATATAATGAAGGATGCGCAACACAACAACATAGTGAATTGTCCAGGGATTAGTCATGAACTGAGCAACAACATGAACCGCATGAGCTATGTCAGGGTGAGCGACCGTCAAGTATATCAGGAATCCCACTAACTGCCGATAGCGGGAGGGATCCTCTAGTGGAGTGCCGTCGAAAGAAGCAAGTCAGAAGTTCCCCTCGAGAGGGGTGGATGCAATCTGACTATCAGTCAGACCTGAACGAGATATGAGATCATATACATATTTCGCCTGAGATAGATATATGCCATCTGGAGCGTAAAAAATCTCAAGTCCGAGAAAATATCATAGCTGGCCAAGACTCTTCATGTCAAAGTGTCGATGAAAGTAGGTCTGTAGAGCGGATATACCAGAAGCATTGTCGCTGGTAATAACCATGTCATACACATACAACAAGAGAATGATGATCACGGCAGGAGAATGACGAATAAAAAGAACAGAGTCACAAGGAGATGCAGAAAAACCATACTGAAATAACGCAACACTAAACTTGGCGAACCAAGCTCGGGGCGCCTGCTTCAATCCATAAAGGGCACGGCGCAGCTGACATACTTTTCCTGAAAAATCTGAGCCAGGTGGAGGGGTCATGTAGACTTCCTCAGACAAATCTCCATGAAGAAACGCATTCTTCACATCCAACTGTAATAATTTCCAACGTCAAACAAAGGCAACAACAAGGAGACAACGGACAGATGTCAAACGAGCAACTGGAGCAAATGTCTCCTCATAATCAATACTATACTCCTGCGAAAAACCCCTGGCTAATAGGTTTCTTGCCACGAGGGAGATCGGCGATATCCCACGTGCCGGTCTTCTCAAGAGCCTACAATTCCTTAGACATACCGTCGCGTCACAAGGGATCACAGTTCGCCCCACGAAAGTTCCTGGGTTCATGGTGAGATAAAATGGCAGAAAAACAATGATAATCAAGTAGATGAGAGAGAGGACGACTTACACGGGTGGGTCGCCAATCAGTGGCGGCAAGAACTGAAATTTCTGAAGGGTCGGGCACAGGCTCAGGAGACGCAGGAAGGTCAGCTGGTGAGGAAGGATTAACATCAGATAGACCAACAAGAACGGACAGGGGTTCGAGACCTGCAAGAGGAGGAGAGGAATCCAAAACAAAGAACGGGGACTCTGACTCAAAGGGAATTGAAAATTTAGACTCAGAGGAAAAGAACTTATGCTTCCAAAAAGTAACATCCCGATAGATACGTAGACGATTCGACATAGGATCTCAACATCGATAACATTTATATTCTATCCCATACCCAAGAAAACAACACAGATGGGTGTGTGGTTCTAATTTGTTACGTTCATGAGGAGGAAGATTAAAAAAGTTGACACAACCAAAAGGATGAAGATGAGAGTAATAAGGTACTTGGCGGAAGAGCCTCTTAAAAGGTGTGGTATCCTAAATGACAGATGAGGGTAAGCAGTTATTATAAACAGTACTAAGAGCAGCCTCGCCCCAGAACCGATCTGGACAACTGACAGATAACAGCATGGCGCAAACTGTGTCTAAAATATGACAATGCTTGCGCTCTGTCCTACCATTTTGTTGAGATGTGTAGGGACAAGAACGCTGGACAAGAGTACCTTGGATGGACAGAAAACTAAGAAAGGCAGAATCATTATATTCGAGGGCATTGTCAGTGCGAAGAGTCTGAATAGGACATGAGAACTGAGTTTGCACCATTTTAGCGAATGCAGAGTAAATGGAAGCAAGTTCAAACTGCTAACGCATAAAGTAAATCCAAGTAAAACGGAAGTAATCATCAATAAAAAGTACAAAGTAACGAAATCCAGTAAGAGTAGCAACATGAGATGGCCCCAAAATGTCAGAATGTACTAACAGAAAAGGTTTATCAGCAATAGCCAAGTTATTCAAAAAAGGTAAAGCTGGTTGTTTTCCAAGTTTACAATGCAAGCAATCAAAAGACTCAAAACGAACTGTGCCTAAAACACCTATATTTGCAAGAGACTTGAGTTTAGATAGGGAGGCATGACTAAGTTTGAGGTGCTAGTAATAGGAAGAGGAAGAAGAGACTGCAGCGGAAAGATATGGTGTCTGGTGAGTGCAAAGGTGGTCCAGCTCAAATAGGCGGCATGTCTTGCAACCTGTCCCAAGTATCTGACCCGTCTACGTGTCCTAAACCTGCACACCAGAAGAAGAAAAAATTACAGTAAAATCCTGCTCAACTAACTGACCAAAAAACGCAAGGTTTAGGACTAATTTGGGAATGACATAAACATCATTGAGGTGGGGGGGGCGATATATGGCCAGTATGAGTAATGCGCATGGAGGTGCCATCAGCGGTAAGTATAGGAGGGGGTGAGGTGATGGGTTGAGAGGAATGTAAAAGGCGAGGGTCAAGTGTCATGTGGTTACAACAGACGAATCAATATACCATGTATTGTTATCTAGTCTCGAGGCTAATGAAGAATGAATTGATAAAACTTGAGTGAGCATGTGACGTAGGTCCTCAAGAGTGGGAGGCGGTTAAGGCGACTGTGATACGCTGGTGGCAGCAACAATGACAGAGGAAGAGCCAGAATAGGACTGACCAGCCTTGGGATTCTTGGGACAATGTAGACAGATGTGGCCTTTCTGACGACAGTAATGACACTTAACGTTAGAGCAATAGATATAAAGATGATCAACATTTGGGCAACTACGACACTTATCAGACTGCGGTGGTCGGACATCCTTGCGATTATCTCTGCGATGAGGAGTAGAAGAGGGAATTGTCAAGGCCGAATCAAGAGTAAGAGCATTGAGCATCTTGAGGCGGGTGTCCTCAAACAAAATCTTCTTCATCGCTGTCTCCAAGGAAGGCAAGGGATGACGATGAAGCAAGGAAGCACGCACAGACTCATATTCAGGATCAAGCTTCATCAAGAGCTGAATCAACCGAAAGTGTTCAATCTGTATGTCGGCTTCATCAATGCGATCCCCCATAGACTGTATAGTAGAGAGGAACTCATTCATATCTTGGTGCGAGCCATGTTTTAGTGCATTCAATGACCCTATAAGCTGATAGTAATGCATGCCTCAAGTGGCTTGATATCGATGCTGCAAATAATCCTAAGCTTTCTTGGCAGTGTCCATGAGGTGAAGTTGAATCTGAATGGACTTGGAAGAGATATTGCGAATCCAAGTAAGAATAATGTGGTTCTTACTATCCCACTCATCCAAGACATTCTGAT